GTGAAATATTAATCCGTAGGCAAATTTATGTTATTGGTTATATTCGAACCCGTCAACCATGTAATATTTCACGAAGCATACTCTTGGAAGTAAAAAAGAGAGCAGGGGAAAAAAAGAATAAACCGGACCAGAGTTGCAAGAGACTCTCGAACAGGCAAGAAAGGTCTCTTCCTTTTACGACGAGACTCACCGACACGCGGCCATTAGCATATTCTTCATTTTCGCCATCCCCATCCCCGTTTCTTGCGATCTTATTTCGAGCTACGCCGCCTTTTTCCGACAATTCTTCGCCATTTTTGGATGGGAATGCTATCGATGTCGATGCATTTGAATATTGGGATGGAGTTTGTTTCTTTCGTGGTATTTTTAGATTTGTGATTTTGTTTGTCATGTAGGATTATGTAGGAGATGTACTTAGAAGGTGGACTTAGGAGGTGTACTTAGAGGTCAAGGTTTAATACTAATCAATTTTAATTGGTATATAGGTAGGTATGGTTAGGTGAGATACATTTGTGCAAAGTAGATAATCTAGTAGTCTCAGCAGTAGGTAGCCGTCTTCACATAAGTGCATTCCAAAATGACTGGACCTTCACATATGTAAATTCCCATATTTCCAAAGTTTCACATATGTAAATTCCTACATCCCCAAACTTTCACTTATGCAAATTCCCACATCCCTAAATTTCCACATTCCCAATTTTTCACACTTCCAAATTCCCATATTTCCAAATTTCCACATATGTAAATTCTCACATCCCCAAATTCTCACATATGTAAATTCCCACATATCCCCAGTTCCACACATCCCCAAATCCTCACATCCCCAATTCCACACATCCCTAAATCCTCACATCCACAACTCCAGACATCCCCAAATCCTCACATCCCCAATTCCACACATCCCCAAATCCTCACATCCCCAATTCCACACATCCCCAAATCCTCACTTCCCCAATTCCACACATCCCCAAATCCTCACGCCCCCAAATTCTCACATCCCCAATTCCACACATCTCCAAATCCTCACATCCCCAATTCCACACATCCCCAATTCCGCACATTCCCAAATCCTCACATCCCCAATTCCACACGTCCCCAAATCCCTACACTCCTAAATCCCTAGCCCCCCAAATCACTAAATTGCCAAATTCCTGAACCCCCAAATCTCCACAATCCCACACCTCCAAATTCCGAAATTCCCAACATCCCCTAAAAGCAACTAACATCTCTCCTCTCTTGTCTTCCTAATAAACGCAAAAATCTCAATCTAAACTTCAGTTCCCACCTCTCGGAAAAAACGTTAAAAAGTCACCACACAGATTTCGAACACTCCATAACTCTGATCACAATCCGCGTTTCATCCCCTTCCATTTCACCGACCAGATACGCCATTAGCGTAAACTGGCCAGTGTCGAAGGCAAAACGCCTCATAGAGGCGATACGATGGTTCACTAATTGCGTTCACGAAACCGCGAACGGGCAAGAACATTCGCGAGAACGATCGTTTGTCAGCGGCAAATAGAACAGTTGATCTCGTCGTGGCTCTAACGAGGCCTCGTTATTGCGCCCGCAGTACTCGGTTGGCTCGATCTTTCGCCCCGTACCCGATATCCGTTCGGCTAATTAAAACGAACCACGACCCTGGCCTTCTAAGGGGAAACCAATAAAAGACCAGGAGGATTCACCGGGTTTTCATCTTCGATTTTTCTTTTTGCTCAACGTGGTTCCTTGCGAGACGCCAGCCATGGAACGCGATCGATCTAAACGCCGCCGGATGTCCGACATCCGGGGACAATTTATACCCTCGATAAATTCCTGCTCGCTTTCATTAGTGGCGCGTTATTGAACGACGGAGGTGCGAACAGGTTGTGGTGGATATACTCCTGTTTTTCATTTTTTTGGATGCTTTTTCTTTGGTTGCTTTTGGATGCTGTTTTTAGGTGCTGTTTTTGGGTGCTGTTTTTGGGAGAACTGCTCTTAGGGGTCTGATTGATTCATAAATTAAATATTGACCTCAAGTTTTGTCAATCATTATTACTGTTATGTCTTATAAATAGTTCAGGAGCATGAATATTATGGAAGCATATTTGTTCGCACAATTACACATGCATGAAACTGGACATATGTACATATGTGATAACCCATCCACATATGAGGATGTGGCTACCAATTTTAAATGTTCTTAAATGTTCCTCTTTATAATTCAAGTGAATGCAGGTCATTTTAATGATGATTGCATTGCATTTTTTATTTATGAAGCTTTTTAAAATTTCATAAAATAACATAGATTATTTTAAGCAAGATTACAGTGTATCACAAGAGGTGTACATAATAATTGACTCTTAATAAAAGTTCTTTTAAAATTGATTTTCTTCAAGAATTTTTTCGAGAGAAGTTTTTAAAAATTTTTTAAAATAACATACACTATTTTAAGCATGATTACAATGTATCATAAGAGATGTACATAATAATTGACTCTTAATAAAATTTCTTTTAAAAATGATTTTCTTCAAGAATTTTTTCAAGAGTTCTTTAAAATTTTTTAAAATAACATACATTATTTTAAGCATGATTACAGTGTATTACAGATGACGTACATAATAAAATCTTCATAAAAATTCTCCTAAAATTTCCCAAAACACATGAGTATAAATTTTATCCCAAAGGAAGCTACATAAATGCACGCTATATATTGAACACCATCATCGACAGCACAAAATTATCCTCGCATTCGATCGTATTTCCACTTCGAAACTTCGCTCCATTTTCGGCTCACGTTCCGATTTATCAGCATCGAATGAAATTTCGATCGGTCTCCATAACCGTGAACTTCCTCCGGCACTATTCAATTTCGTCTCGCTCGATGTATCGATGTACAAGCACGAATACATTATCGCTATCGGCAGGTAACATCTGTGAACGGTTGACAGCCGGCTCGAACGAGTCAGGTCTTGGATCGGGAATGAATCTTCTTAGGAGAAAGTTATAAAAACAGAGGGAAGAAAGTGGGTTACGTTACGATGCTTCGGACATATGTAGTCTGACGCAAAAATTATCTTCACTTTTTTTTAATGGTTTGTGAGAAATTATTACGTCTTGCAAGGAAAGTATTTTGCATTTTTGAAGGATTTTGTGAAAAATTATTGTGTACAGCTTTTATGGAGGAAAATGTTCTTTTTATAAGAATCTATCTTTTTGAAAGAAATTCTTGAAAGAAATTGTTCAAAGAAAATCTTAAAAGAAATTCTTGAAAGATATTCTTGAAAGAAGTTTTATAAAGAAATTCTTGAAAGAAATTCTTAAAAGAAATTTTTGAAAGAGTTTCTTCAAAGAAATTTTTGAAAGAAATTCTTCAAAGAAATTTTTAAAAGAAATTTTTCAAAGAAATTCTTGAAAGATATTCTTGAAAGAAATTTTATAAAGAAATTCTTGAAAGAAATTCTTGAAAGAAATTCTTCAAAGACATTCTTGAAAGAAATTCTTAAAAGAAATTTAAAAAAAAAAAGTTCTTAAAAAAAAATCTTAAAGAAAATCATTTTTAAAAGAAATTTTATAAAGACTAAATTATTACGTACATCTTCTATGATACAATGTGATAATTCTTAAAATAAAGAATGTTATTTAAAAAAATTGAATATCAAATCAACCAAAAAAGTAAGAAATGTCTCCTCTTACATATTTCAATGCCTTCACCCGAGTGATAAATATACCCTATAGAGGGTAGGAAATTCATCTGAACCCTTTCCTTTTCTCACCCCGTCCGAAAGTCTTAGAAAACCGACACGGCGTCAATTGACAATTACGGTTCATAATTAATACGAACTTCTGACGGTGCCATCACGGTAATTGGGGGACTGGTGTGGGGTGAATTTAATTTTCACCGATTAATTTCGAGGATAGTCAAGAAACTCGTCCTGCAAGAGACGGGGATGGTTGAATACTCTTGATTCTTCTCTTCGTACCAGCAGTTTCTTCGACTTCATCGAAATTCGGTATTCAGAAATCGTTCGTTGCATATTTAAGCTTTCGATTGGACTTGCCCTTATTCTTGGGGTGGGTATTATTAAATTCGTTCTGGAAAGGGTTGTAAGTTTCTTCAAGAAAACCAGAGAGATCATAAATCTTCATATATTGCATAGAAATTTTGTTTGGATTGCAAGTATATTTATATTTTTTGCAGTCACATGTACACACATATGTGCACACATATGCAGTCTCTTTTCTTTTAAATAATTCTCAAATTAAATTTAGTATAATCAAGTTTATTATATATAAACTATTTGTAACTATAATTGTTCCTCTTCTATTTCTTTTGCACTGCAAGTATGTTTATGCATTGCACACATATGTGCACACATACATATACACATATGTAATCTTTTTTTTTAAAACAATCCTCAAATTAAATTTATTACAATCAAGTTTATTATGCATAAATTTTTAACTAGAATTATTCTTGTATTATGCAGAAAAATATTAATAATATTCCTAAATTAAATTGTCACTTTGAAATAATATTCACATACGTGTTATACACACATGATGTAAATTTGTCGTACAACGTTTAAACTTAAATTCATGACATAAAAGTATCACAAAATGGCACTTATGATACATGAAATTAAAGATAAAAGCTTGACAAAGAGAGCCACATACGGACATTATAAAAATTCCCAACACAAAATGGCGGACACCTCATCAAAGCGATCAATGACTCCACTAATTTTTCAAAATAGTCCACGAAGAAGCAATAAATTTTCAAATGTAAATTAAAAATATTAACAAGTTATATACACAGCTATTTTCTGTGTACCCTAAGCTTTAATTTGGTACATCACAAGTGCTTCTACATAATACTTTTATGTCATGAATTTGTGTCAGACGATCTCTACACCAGAATACTTAAATTTATAAATTTACGACAACATGGTATTTGCTTATGTTAATACAGTATTTTTATGAATGGTTTAAAATGGCTTTGCGAAAAGTGATCTACATACCTGAAGATATGCTGATTGGTAGATTGCAGCAGAATAGTGGTGTACTTTGTGATCAGCATGATCCCAGAAGTGAAACTCGCGAGGAGTCAAAGTTCTGATTCACTAAAGTGGGTAACTCCGTCGGTGACGAGGTTCGTTGAGAAGAGAAGGTCCGCACTCGTTTCGCATAAATCGCGCTTAAGAAAATCGAGCAAAACCGTGAGCGAAGCGGAGAAGCGTGCGGATGCCGCGGAAATTCTTCTGGCTATATTTAGAGGCCATATTTCCGACGGACACAAAGCGATTTCCACTCATCGTTTCTTCTTTTCGAGACATCTTCAATAAGCTGCTGTTACTATGTTTCATAACTTTGTTTCCAAATTTGTGAATTTTTTGTGATCAGACGTCTTGTGAATTCCACAAAGTATCTGGTAAGTTATTTTGTACTTTGTTGATAAGTTTGTGAGATAGGTACTTGTGAATCATTTGTGATCAAGTATTATTGTAGCTATTGATGTATTATATGATTGGTTATTTCATATGTGAGGTTTGGGTCTCAACTTCGGGAGCAATTTTAATATTTTAACTTCACAATGGAGCTTCACACATCAACTTCACAAGTGATCTTCAGACCTCAACTTCACAACAGATCTTCAGACAACTTCATAAGCAACCATCAGATCTTATCAACTTCACAATGTAACTTCAGATCTTATCAACTGTAAAGGGACCTTGAGATCTCAGCTGTACAAGCAACCTTCAGATCTCAACTTTATAAGCAAGCTTCATATCTCAACTTTATAAGCAAGCTTTAGATTTCATCAACCTCACAAGTGATCTTCAGATCTCATTAACATCACAATGTAACTTTAGATCTTGTCAACTGTGAAGGGACCTTGAGATCTCAACTTCACAAGCAATCTTCAGATCTCAACTTCACAGCAAATCTTCAGACTTCAACTTTATAAGCAAGCTTTAGATCTCATCAACCTCACAAGTGATCTTCAGATCTCATTAACATCACAATGTAACTTTAGATCTTGTCAACTGTAAAGGGACCTTGAGATCTCAACCTCACAAGCAATCTTCAGATCTCAACTTCACAGCAAATCTTCAGACTTCAACTTTATAAGCAAGCTTTAGATCTCATCAACCTCACAAGTGATCTTCAGATCTCATCAACATCACAATGTACCTTCAGATCTTATCAACTGTAAAGGGACCTTGAGATCTCAACTTCAACAGCAACCTTCAGATCTCAGCTTCACAGCAAATCTTCAGACCTCAACTTTATAAGCAAGCTTTAGATCTCATCAACCTCACAAGTGATCTTCAGACCTCGACTTCTCAATCAACCTTCAGATCTCAACTTCCCAAATAACCTTCTGATCTCACCATCTCTTCATCTCCTACATACCTCATCATCCATAATAACTTAAATCCATCAACATATACCACAGCTTCATTCACCAAATCCTTGTGAATCACAATCCTCCACATCTACCACAAGTCCACATCCACCTCAAGTTCCACATCTATCACAAGTCCACATCTACCATATCTCCACATCCACATCCAGTTCCACCATTACACCGGTTTCTCCACCACGTCAAGTCAGAATCAGGTATCGAGTCAACATTCAACGTCACAAAGTAAGCAACGTTACGTCAACGACTTTGTGAAGTGGCAGGTGTGTTCTTGTAGACTCAAGGTTTCCGAGTGTGACCGATAGCGACAGGTGCAACGATCGTCGACTCGCTTTCGATCGTTCTCGAATGGTCACCCTGGCGCCGTAGCTATTATTACGTGTCCCTCGCTCTTCAGCTTCTCGCGATGTTTGTTTTGCCGAAATCCGTTTGACGGTGGTCAGGGAAGCACAGTGGGTGGATTTGTTTTCGTTTATCGACGATCGGAATCTTCCGGCGGTTACCAACGGAGATGAACGACCCGACGACCTTGTTGAGGACCTTTTAGAGGATTATTTTCGTGGAGGTGGCTGCGCTCGTAAAGAAGTATTTTTAGATTTTCACCAGACGAGGTCGAGGATTATGGCAGGTTTGCGACTTCTCAAGAAAATTTTTCTGAAGAGTGAAGATAAGATGATTTTGAAGGAATGGAAACGAGAGTCTGACGAATTATGATCACAATTTATCATGGAAGAAACTTCCGGTGATTAGACGCGACAGCTGGTAATGTGTGGACATTCCAAGGCGAGGACACTTTGATCAACTTGTTGAACGAATCAAGGAATCACGAGGACGTTTCTCATTTATGATCAAGATTAATCAAATGATTCAGGTTTATTGGGGAAAATTGTGAAATGTCACTTGAAATTCAAAGTCGCAAGCTCTATATAGCTTTAGGATAAGAAGAGCCTGCTCTACAAATACCTGTTCACAAATGCAGTTTAGTGATCAAATAGATTGAAGTACTGCTAAAAAATGATGTTCATAGCACAACAGAAGATGTTCATATAAAATCATATCAGATGTTCATATCAAGAGTTGGATGAATGATGAAGTTTTGAGAATACTTGTATCACAAATTGTAACATCACAAAGGTAGTTGATTAAACAAGGAAATTTTAGACTTGCTACCAAATGATGCAGTAGATCTATAACTGATTTTCATGTCAGAGTCACAAGATGTTAAAAGTCCTACCAGAACCTTGCATCACAAACTACATCATCACAAAATCAGTCAGCTGAAAGGAAGAATCTCAATCTTGCTCTCAATTGATGCAGTAGATCTATAACTAATCTTCATGTCAGAGTCACAAGATGTTAAAAGTCCTACCAGAACCTTGCATCACAAACTACATCATCACAAAATCAGTTAGCTGAACAGAAGAACCTCAATCTTGCTCTGAAATGATACAGAACATCTATAACTCACATTCATCTGAGAGTCACAAGTTAAAACTTCTATCTGAACCTTGCATCACAAACTACATCATCACAAAATCAGTTAGCTGAACAGAAGAACCTCAATCTTGCTCTGAAATGATACAGAACATCTATAACTCACATTCATCTGAGAGTCACAAGTTAAAACTTCTATCTGAACCTTGCATCACAAACTACATCATCACAAGATCAGTTAGCTAAACAGAAGAACCTCAGTATTGTTCTTAAATGATACAGAACATCTATAACTTACATTCATCTGAGAGTCACAAGTTTAAACTTCTACCTGAACTTTGCATCACAAGTGACATCATCACAAGATCAGTTAGCTAAACAGAAGAACCTCAGTATTGTTCTTAAATGATACAGAACATCTATAACTCACATTCATCTGAAAGTCACAAGTTAAAACTTCTACCTGAACCTTGCATCACAAATCACATCATCACAAAATCTATCAGCTGAAAGGAAGAACCTCTGTATTACTCTTAAATGATACAGAACATCTATGATTAATCCTCAGCATAGAGTCACAAGATATTAAAACTCCTACTAGGACCTTGCATCACAAATCACATCATCACAAAATCTATCAGCTGAAAGGAAGAACCTCTGTATTACTCTTAAATGATACAGAACATCTATGATTAATCCTCAGCATAGAGTCACAAGATATTAAAACTCCTACTAGGACCTTGCATCACAAACTGCATCATCACAAAACCAGTCCACTGATTGAATTGTCTCCAAACGAAGCAGAAGATGAAGTCATCATCGTCTTCAAGTCTCAAGTTCTTAAAACTCCTACCAAGACCTTGCATCACAAATTGCATCACCTTAAAACCAGTCTACTACCCAGAAGGACCTCAGAATTGCCTCCAAACGATGCAGAAGATGAAGTCCTCATACGTCTTCAAGTCACAAGGTCTGAAAACTCCTACCAGATCCTTGCATCACCTCAAAACCAGTCTACTACCCACAAGGACTTCAGAATCTCCTCCAAAGAAGATGAAGTTGCATCAGATGAAGTCACTATCCTCTCCAAATCACAAGACTATACACCTCTCACCAAAACCTCGAATAACAAATCACTCAGCTGAATTACCCCAGTCAGTCAACCACAGTACCCCAGTCAATCAACCTACCCCAGATTTCCCCCCAAAAGAAGGATCCGAATCCTCTCGCACACAGATCTTCACAAACAGTCCCAAAAGAAAAGTCCCAGAGACAAGTCCTCGTATCCCAGTACAAAAGTCCTCGTTTCAAAACCGCACTCGCGTGTCAGATCGCCTGGCAGGTGGCAGCTCGAGTGCGCGTCTACTCGCTCGGAAGTGATCCGTTCAATAAGCATTCCTACGTTGCTTTAATCGGTGTCAACCGAAGGACAGCCACGACCGATAAACAGTCTTAAACAGTCTCTGGTTATACAAGCCACGATCGACCTCGATCGAGAACTGTCGCCCCTGGACAATGTATTTATTACGAGCATAGGCCAGGGGCTTCGTACTCGCCCTTCTTCTCTATCCGAGGAGTCGATCACGAAGCAATTCCGTTATCGATCTCGGAGGATCTAACCGGTTGGCTCGGTTTCAACGTTTACACGAAGGTGGAGCTTTTGTTCGTGATTTTCGCGAGAAGTAAGCGTTCAGCTTACCCTTCGCTCCGCGCCTCGAATTGATTTCATGCTCGATCGCGCCCGAGTCTGGGTCATCCACGGTTACTTTCGAACTCTACGGATAAACGACTGGGTTTAATTCACGGTGATCTTCGTGTGGGGTAGGTTCATCTGCTGCTGCTCAAGATGTGTAGATACTTGGGTGGATTTTTGGGGACTTGTGTAGTGCTACCTTTGATGTGGATTCCACATTCACTCATGTGACCTGTTATTTGGGAGGACCATGTAATCATTCAGATGTCTTCTTCTAAAGGTGTTCTCTGATTGACGTAGACTTCTTCATTGTGATGTTAGATCTTGATACCAGTGAATGTGAGAAGTAGGAAATATTTGCTGAGGTGTGACAAGCTTTTGTGATTCAGGTCCTGATCTTCAACCTCTCAAGGTGAGGTCCCCACTTGTTATTCCCTGTGAATCTATTTATGAATTTGAAGATTCTGATATGCTATGTGGGAAGAGTGAATTCATTAAAACAGAGACCTTGCACGAGGCATACAATCATAATTCACGTAACTCTTTATGAAATAAATAATTGTATCTTTAAGGTGAAAACATAGTTCCTCCAAAATGACCCAACTTAAAACTTTGTGCTAACTGGACATCCTCTAATGTACTCTCTGATTACCATGTGACACTCCCTAATTTTCATAACACCCCAAAGATCAACCAATCATCAAGAAGTGATAAGACATCCAGCCGCCTTCAAAGGATTAATGATCGTCCTCCATCAGCAGGTGAACAAGCCGAAGACCTTGAAGAATCCTTAATCGATGCCATTCTTCATGGCACTCATGAAATAAATCGCGAAGAATGATTCGTTAAGCAGTGATAAAATCTTTTGTGATTCTCAGTATCGAGATCTATATTGGTTCGAAGATGTACACATATACATACGTGTTCTCAGCCTCACACTTTCTCGTTTCATAATTGGTAAGCTGCTATATTCAGCGAGTGACTGACACAGTCGTCTCACGTCATCAGAGACAATTAAACTTCCTCTCTCGGATAGCTTTGGAATAACACCATGCGGAATATTCACAGCTTGTTGAACATGGCTTTTGGGATAATGCGGAGGACTCCCTCGGACTATCCTTTTTTGGTTATCAAGATTATTTTATCTTCAAAGTTAAATATTAGCAATTATATTTACGGTGCTAACAGTTAGGTACATTGTTTCGTAAGTGCATAGTTAAATATCCAAAGTTAATCTTGAATGATACATGGATCTTCAAGATTCTAATCTTCAAGTTCTAAGATGTTCAGCAGACTCTAACTTGAGATTATCGTTATAGTTCACTTTAGAGTTGTATTAGGACACTTGAAGTGCGTGGAAAGTACTTGATGAGAATTGGTATTGAAACTCTTTAAGAATTCTATGATGTCTAGGAGCAGTGATAGGCAATAATATTCTGATTGTCACAGGGTACTCATAGGTAGACACGTCCTAACTTAGCTTTGAGTGCATTTGAATTGCACCAGGACTATATCACTTGAGGTACTCAAATTGATCTAATTCGACTGGAATTTATACTCAAAAGGAACCCTGAAGAAGTCAACACCATAGATTAACAAGAGTCCCACCTAACACCTTAGTTAGCCTAATCCTAACGCATCCACAAGTGATATCCAAACTCTCCAACTAACAGTTGCAACATTCTTCAGAATTGTATCGAGACAACTTCCAAATACACAGAGTGATCAGCTCATGACGTGAATTTATGCTAAAAACTAATCCTGAAGAGCAACTAAGAAACCTAATCCTCAAGAGTCCTTGATATCTCAGTTATCCTAGTCCTAATACTCACAAGTATCAAACTCTTCAACATTGCAGAATTTCTCAGCTTCCATATACACAGAATGACCTTACTAGATTAAAATTTATACCAAAAATGAATCCCTAAGAAAGTAACCCCACAGAGGTTACTCTGTTTTTCTAATTATTTCTAATCCACAAAGCTCTTCAGTTCACACAGCCACCTTCCACGTCTCAACCCAAAAACTTACATCAAATATCAATTCCCAAGAAGCGTGACTGTCAGTGATCCTCGTATCAGTTAGTTCCACTAATCTGAAACCCATCAAAGGGTTCTCACATGACCGTTACCCAGAGTCAATTACCTTGGCTCGAAAAGGACACTGGCCTACTCGATCCACAGGTAGACGCCAGGCAGACCTCTGCCGCTCCACGTGTACAAAATCTCCATCATCATCGACTCATAATCACTAAACGCACTCAATTATCCTTCATCGATCATCCTGAAGAGACACTGCGACCAACGTACGGAGTTGGTCAGTCGGTTAACCTTGACCCAGGCCAGGATCAGCGGGTGCCAGCGAAGTGTCGGATGGTTCCCCGAAAAAAAGAAATCCAAACTGATCGATTATTCCAGCGAGAGGTCGCGATTTATTTATAGACCAGCCAGACAAAGAGATTCGAGTGTGCTGCCTGGCTGCCGGTCGCGAATGGACTGGCTCTGCACGTTCCTTTAAACACTATAGTCGCGGCTGCAACGAGCAGACTTTAGG